AAGAGCCCCGGGTTCGGACACCGAGCAAGCAGCGCCTGAAACCGAGGCTGGGTTGGCCACTAAGGAGCCAGAATACTACTCTCCTTTGGTAAGTCTTAAAGCGAGCTAGGACCTAGAGCAACAGTGGAACTAGGGGAAAAGAGGTACAGGTAACCCCACATCGATCAGTCCTGCCTGAAGGCATCGACCCCGATGGCCTCGCAGTCGAGGAAGGGCACCACATGTACTGGGAGATGCCTCGACCATACCAACGCGAAGAGGTCCACCTCTGGAAGCTTGTAAGTCCAGCAGAGCCAACTGAAGGAGTCGGTGTCAACTGTCCATTACGAGGACAGGGGAATGAACCAAGACAGGCCATCCACCAGGACGTTGGACACCCTGTGAACCGCCAGGAGTGCCAAATCCCGAGAACTCAGCAGATGAGTCACCCGAAGCAACGAGCCACAAAGAGCCAAGGACGCATTGAAGCCCCGTGGTTCAGGAAATGAACCATCGGGGAGCAGTCCGAATGGAGCCTGATCGTCGATCCGCGAGTGAACCGAACTCTCCGAGGCAACATCCACACCGCACCATGGTGTGGGATGCACCATGCTGCGAACTCTTGCACCATGCTGTGGGCCACAGACGCTACCATCCCAGACGACCTGGTGAGCACTGGTCACAAAGCCCCAGCCAAGAGACGACACGTCCATGAACACATTGAGCGAGGGCTCGGGTAGGCGCCAAGGCACTGAACACGAAAAACCCGAAGAGAAAGCGGCGATGTAGCAACCAATGTAATGCCCCTGGAGGCCGAACCCAGCAATCGCAAGAGGTGGAAGGGACATCCTAAAGGAACCAGAACAGCCGACAAAACAAAATCTGACCTGGCGGTTAGACCATCATGGCAAAGTTCAGGCTCCCGCACAACCCCTCGAGCAACAGTCCCATGATTCGGGAGCCCCCCAGAAACAGACGAAGGTGGGACCACAACCCTGCTTCGGCTGCGATCCCAGAGGGAGAGACAAGGAAGTGGTCCGAGAGTCCCTCATAAGACCTAGCCCTTCCCACCCTTCCGGGAAGACCCCCCAGGGCCCCCCAGAGAATCATCAAATCCGACATGGGACGGCAACTAGAAGAAGCTGCCTGCATATACTACACAACCACAGAACCTACAAACAGCAACGGGCAAAAAGGCAAAGAAATCTTAAGAGCCAGGGGCCAAGCGGATTCCACAGAGGAAGCAAGCACCACCTGCCAACATGCGAGATGGGAAGCAAAAAAACAGCAACACTGCAGCCCGCAGGATCGGTGCGAACAGCTTCAAAAGAGCAGCCGACGTACGCACCGCCGAGGCCAATGCACCAGACCCAGGAGCAGTCCCAAACGCCTCCATGTCTCCCTCAAGCCAGTCCGAGGACAGCTCGAGAAAGGAAAAGAATACAAGACCGAAGACAACAGGCCACAGGCACGCAAGTCCTCAGCGATCAACGCAGCTTAAATGGAAGGAACCTGCACGTGAAGCTGCACCACACTGACATCCCGAGGTGGGGCAGGGGTGAACAAGAACGCTTTGAGGTGCTCAAATTCGCCCCCCCCCCAACACCCCTGACGGACCCCAAAGGCATGAACCTCACCAAGTGTCGAAGCCCTCAAATGGGAGTGAGACTTGAAATGTCCCAGTGAAGAGAACTCTGACATAAGGGAAGTACTTACCTGGCACCTAGGGAAGATAGCCTTAGACATATGCAGCCCAGTGTACAGGGAACACGTGGTCACAACACCACACAAAGCTGGCAAAGTCACAAACTCCAAAGCCAGCCAATAAAGCGAGGCCAGAAGAGACGTGTTAACACCAGTCACATCAGTCAATGGACTGGGGGTGGAGCTGCTAACTCGCCTGAGCGGATTTTCCCTCCCTGCTGCTGCTTCCCCGTGGTTCATTGTCTCAACAGGAATCGGGGACAGGTTCATTGTCTCAACATTGTCTCTTCGGTTTGTGGCTTTGGGGCTGGTCACTTCAGGTAGCTCTTATGCTGAGTTCTCGGGGTTTAGCTCTCCACACTATTCACCCTCAGGGTGTGTGTTCAGTGTCCTGGCAGATGATCTGTCCCACTTTATTTCTCTTTCCACAGGGTGGAAAATAGATGCAGGCTCCTTCCTTTGGCTTTGTTTGACGTATGGGTGCCAGGAGGTGGACTTTCTTCGCGTCAGTGTGGTCTTGACGTCTCCCTTTGTACGTGGCGCCGTTTCCCGACTGTGAGGCCTCGCGGTAGATGCTTTTCGGGACGACAGGTCGAGGTGGAGGTACTTGTACCGCTTTCCCCCGATCCAGCTGTTGCTCCGGGTTCTAGCTCAGCTAGATTTATATCGGGGGTGAGTGGTTCTCCTGGCTCCATGGTGGCCACCTGTCCAGCCTTGGCTTCAGGTGCTGCTTGCTCAGTGTCAGAACTCGGGCATTTTTCCCTAGCTCCGCCTCTTTCAGCAGGTCAGGCCTGTGAGGTACCTCATTGGTTCGCTTTACTACTCTGCTCTACGTGACTGGTTTTTCCGATGTGTGTGTATCACCATTTGTATGGTGATCAGGTGGCTTCTTTGATGGTGTCCCACCTTTAGTGTTCTTCTCAATGACAGTATGAAATGTTTTGGCGGTCTTTCCATAATTTTCTTTTTCTTCATCTGCTTTCGTTGATTTCAGACCAGGTTGTTCTGTCCTTTCTCTCTTGGCTTTTTCTGGATCAGCATATGCCTAATACTGTTGCTTCATATCGCACAGCATTGGTGGAGCCACTGCTGTTTGCAATCAGGGTGGATGTTACTTTTGCTCCATTCCACAGGCTTGTGCGGTTTTTTCACCTCCGGCTTGCTTATGCGCCACCTAAGCCTTCTTGGTCTTTGGACAGAGTTCTTTCTTTTCTTTTCTTTCTTTCTTCTCCTCGCTTTGCTTTTTGGCAAGTCACTCCTTATACCTATCTTTGGGTAGCTAGCTCCAGGGAAGCCAACAGGACTCCTCCCCAGAAAACCAGTATTGAATGTAATGAAATGCCATTTTCTGGGCGAGCCTCAGAGGATCCCTGACAAACACCCTCCCTCCCTCCGATTGGCAGCTTTCATCATTCAAGAACTGGAGTGGTGGGTGGCAGTTCATCGGTTCAAGGACTGCGAGCTCCTCCTGCCCCCCCTCCCTACCCACTAGGGAGGTGGGGTAGTGCTGACTAGCCAGAGTGCTAGTTGCATGAAGTGTTGCTTTTTGGGTTTCTTTCTAGGGGAGTTATTTTGATCTTTAAGGATGTAGATTGCATAAGTTAACCAGACAGTGGTCTGTTTTGATTTGCCTACATTTTTAGGGCCTTCCCTAGTCAATGGCAATTATGACATACTTTATATGTAAAGTGCTCATAGGCCATTACTCCCTGCACCTCTCTGAGGGGGGCCAGGTTCTGGCTCATGGTCCCCGGTAGGCATAAAGACCCCTGTGACTGGTGACCCCCAAACTAATACAGCACATATCACTTCAGATAGTTTATGGCAGTCTCTGGGGATCACTCAGAAAATGGCATTTCATTAAATTCAATGCTGTTTTTTTAGAAAGTTTTAAATTTACAAGTGCTGTGAAAACATGTAGTGGTATTTTGAAGAAGGGCTCACCATTCTCATAAAAATTATATACCCATGTGCCTATAGTAAGAGCAGGTTTCAATCTTGTGCCCTGTCATGAGTAAAAAGCTTGTGCCCTTACACTCAAATGTATCCCAACTCGATCAGCAATGGAATTTTGTTTGACATACCAGGGACCAGAACCAGAACCTGGCCTCCCTCATAGGGATGCAGAGAGCAGGTGACACTGCCACCCCACTGGGAAAATATCCAGAAAGTCAGTGAACCAATACAGACCACAGCTGGATTCAAAGAGACAACAGCCTCAAAACTGCCTAATGAACTCCACCAACAATGTAAATAAATGACTCTCTCAAAAGAAGCTTGTTAGCACTATGATGACCAGACCACACACTAGAAGGTGAAGGGGCGACGACGTTTCGGTCCATCCTGGACCATTCTCAAGTCGATTTCGGTCCAGGACGGACCGAAATGTCGTCATCCCTTCACCTTCTAGTGTGTGGTCTGGTCAACATACTTTAGCCACGTTATTGTGACTCATTGCCTGCATTGTTAGCACTACCCCCTACAACCAGTTGGGGGTGCCACAGCTTCAAGTCCCCACCAACCTTCCAAGCCAGTTCCAGAGCAGATATGCAGATGACAGCCACCAAGCAACACCAAGGTAGGGAGAAAATCAGGGAGCCACAGTGGCTCACCCAAAAATAGGCGTTTCATTACATTCAATTCTGGATTTCTGGGGTGGGGGGGGGGGACATTGTAGCTTCCTGAAGCTAACTACCCATGGAGAAGAGAGGGACTCACCAGGGAGGACAAGAAATTGCAGGCAGTCCCAGGACATGTTAGCAATGCCATCATCATCAATGTCATCATCGTTAATGTCATCATCATCCTCATCATCACCATCATAGTATCAAATCATTGGACTCGATGATACTGCAGATGACCTAAGAAACTCAAACCTTGGTATACAGAACCATGGAAACAGGATCAACCTACAAAGCATCCACCGAAGCATAATTGGTGGCAAGAAGGTAGCGTTAGAGAGCTGCCACTGGACAGAGCACAATATGCACCCTCGGCCGAACCAACCAAGCATCAATAATCAAAAGCCTCCTCGGAAAGTTCGCCGACTCGTTCTTCCCCTGAAATGGAGACAGAATCAGACGAACATAACACCTACCAGGGCCAATCAAACAAAATGACACCTCTAGAGAAGAGCATGAATCTCCCCAGCCTTACAACCTGTCTACTTTGTCCAATCTCAATATGATCACTAAAGCTATGTAGAAAAACAGAAACAAAAATGGCAAAAACATATGGCAATCATCTTGCTTGGAATATCTAAGTGTAACACTTAAAAACAGCAATAACATTGGTTTATTAATCCAGCAGTACCATAC